GTTTTGTAGCAACAGAATGAAAGCTCTCCAGTAGAATGGTTTTGTAGCAATAGTATGAAAGCTCTCCAGCAGAATGGTTTTGTAGCAATAGAATGAAAGCTCTCCAGTAGAATGGTTTTGTAGCAATAGAATGAAAGCTCTCCAGCAGAATGGTTTTAATTACTTTACAAAGCATATCATATTAGCTGTTCAAACCATAGAGCTATCAACATTAACTACCTTCTAACTACAGTAAGCTAATATTACTGTCTAATGCCTTAAATGACACAGTACATCTGCCATATTATCCAATGTTTAAATCTAGTACAGACACCACTTTAAACAATTCTACAAAAGTCAAGTAACAATTACTACAGTTTTCTAGTGAATCTATTTCACTATGACACAAACTTATAGCTATTTTAATTTACAGTCAATTCCTCCACAATTTTCTTATTACAGGTTATCTTTTCTTAGTAAGCCCTCAATCTTTGATTTTTTTTACGTTAGACAAAAGACTGTTCTACTTCTACTTCATATCATCTGAAAGAAAAGACTCTCACAAATACCAGGAAGAATTAAGTTCAAAGTAGATGTTTAGTATCTGATTACAGTGTTCAAGGACATTGGAATTATGATACTAGCTTTAGAGAATCAATCCCCTGGTGGTCATTATCCCTTCCTCTTCACTGACACGCAAGTCAAATCACTTTAACAAAACAATTACATTGGACAGGATGGGTATGTATTCTTCATCATTCCATTCATATCACAAATACACAAAGATATGTACAAGTACAAAAACATTCCAGTCATGAAATACAAGCCACAAATCAAAGAGAATATGACTATCCTAACATACTATGATTTTCACCCAAAACAATCGTATGTTTGGAATAACAAACTATTAAAATCAGAACATCACTATTTTGAAATATTCAATTATAAAACATTCTTAGTAAATCTTCTTTGACAATTGTGTTAATGGTTTACATAAATTATTGTCGTTGTACTACCAAGAAAACCATTTCTTCAAAAACTGTACACTTTCCAACCTTTTACAGTTAGATCACATTTATTATTCCACAACATCTGACTTTATTCAGCGGCTAACAAACAAGCTATTGTCTAGAAAGAAGGTCTATGATAAAAGATTGGTTGTTTTTCTATCACGCCCTAGTACTATTTTGGTTAGCATGCTCAATAACCATCAATTCCAAGAAGCAGACAGAATTTCACATTTTTTCTGAGAAAAGTCTTTTTTAGTCATCATTTCCATATCTTACACAATATTAAACATTACAAATATCATCCACAAATGTTACACACACATCATTACTTCGAGGGTAATTTAGTTTTAATTTACATTCATCCATTACAAATATCATCCACAAATGTTACACACACATCATTACTTCGAGGGTAATTTAGTTTTAATTTACATTCATCCATTACAAATATCATCCACAAATGTTACACACACATCATTACTTCGAGGGTAATTTAGTTGTAATTTACATTCATCCATTACAAATATCATTACTTGCCAAACTTTTTACTAATCATACTTATTTCCATATATCCTACAAAACATGACTTATCATTAGTTTTAACATTTTATTGTCTTTGGTTTTCTAGTATTTCAGTAATCACTTACTTTATAAGACTGATACTACTCACCTTATCTTTCTTATCTTGCCTGGCATACGGGAAGCAAGGAATGACAGCATTAACACGAGATGCAGAAGCTATCTTGCAAGTATTGATCATGATTAACAGTTCCATCAGATTATCGTTAACCTCACCACATCCACTCTGAATGATGTAAACATCTTCTCCTCTCACCGATTCTCCAACCTCCACACTAAACATACACGTACAATAATTCAAAATACAATATACATCTTAAATTTGGGTATATTTATTTAAAGGTCCATGTGTCGTATCTAGAAAATTAATATGTTATTTCTTTAATAATGTATTCAACTTGACAAAATGTAGCCTCTTTACAAAATTGTCCTTATACAATTCAGATCACTTACAATTTCATTAAAGATCATTTTACTAAAACTAAAAAAAAATATTTATTCGTATTATTACTATTTCCTTACAAGTATTATAAATTATATTGTAATACTGTAAACATTTGTAGTCAAATTAAAAGCACGTTTTACTAACTTTTAGTTTGGTTTCGTAATACTAATAGGCGTCGATTTTACCGACTTGTGTGGCTAATAGTATCATACAATGAAATATCTTAAATTCATGTAAACGATTATATATATAGCATTAATACTTTAAATATACTAATATTAGTAACAATATATTCTAGTACTTGTACACCATTTGTACTATCTGTAGTTTGATTTTGTAAAGTTTGTTTGAAGTCTCCCTTCACAATTAATTTATTGAATTATACTAATACTATAGAAATGACGAGGCAACATAATGTATAGCCTATAAATCTATTGGAGTCCGCCGATATAATAATAATAGCAGGTGGTCCACAAACAAAAAAAAAGTTTGAGAACTATTGTTATAGACCATAAATACCTCGTTTCTTGATTACTGAATTTCTTCAGAACAACTTTGCCTAATCCAATCCCTAATCGATCAACTATTTTCTGAGCCAAATCTGGGTGTGATGATCCACTAAAAACCTTGATATTCGGCATTTCCTGACTTAAATGAGCTTCCACTTTTCAATCTTTAAAAATTCGAGATAAATATTTTCTTTTTTCTTACCCTTATAAGTGGTATTAAAGTCCCAATCTCATTATTGTACCCACACTCATCCTCAATTACCGATGTTTTGACGCTAGTAAGTCAAAGATCAAGGGTACCAGATTTTATAGTAATTTTAACAGATGGCGTTTCCATCGGGAGAAAGAGCCACTGTATAAATTGTCTTTAATAATTTATAGTTTCTATCTGTTTTGAAAAATGCGCGCGCACTTTACTATTTAAGTGCGTATGCGTGCGCACTATATTTCAATGGATGTAAATATACTTTAGTAGATATTTTGTACAACAGTGTATTAAAGTTTTTAAAATGGTTTAATGTTAGGCTGTAGAATAACATTATAAGTCGACTAGCTGGAGAACCCGTCCATTAACAGATGAAATAAAAACTCGATTGTAACAAAGGATAGAAAATTGTGCTTTTATTTTTTATCTTAACATAATAAACATTAAAAGTGCAATAGAAATACATAAATGTACCAGTACTGTTTTCAAGAGTTCTATCAATATGAAATTAGATGGGGGTCCAACCCCCTCGCCCCCAGTGGCACAGCAGGACGTCTGCGGACTTACAACGCTTGAAACCTGGTTTCGATACCCGTGGTGGGCAGATCACAGATAGCCCATTGTGTAGCTTTGTGCTTAACTTCAGACAAACAAACCCGCTCATGACCTTCCTCATGTCATCCTGTATCACTGTGTCTAGTTTGGTGCTGATTGATCAAGAAATGTTGAAACGTATGAGGAACAGATATACACACACATACATACATATTGACGTTTATTTCTATAGATTTATTGACAGTATTAAGTACATGAATGAGAGGTGTTCCGCAAGACGTGAGAAAAACTGATAACAATAAAGCATAAACTGACTCGTCTAAATGAAACATTTTTTGTTTATTTTGTATAACGTTTCAATCAAACGCCCTTTATCAGACAGTCTGTTCAAAATGTTGCATAAAATAAATTACAAAAAGTTGTCATTTAGACGTGTCAGTATTCTTTATTATCATTTATCCAAGTCAAGTACGTAAAATTTAGCCGTAACTAAACTAGAGCAAAAAATGTACACTAATTATGATATTAATTTATTTCTATCGAATATAAGCCGTACTTAATAAAAACTTAACTAATGTTAGGCCTAAGACAAGTGAACATATATATTTTGGTGTCTGCGATTAAAATTATTTTGTATTATTCTAAAAATCCCGTAATTAATCAAGCACTGTTGTAATAAATATTCTGATTTGATTAGCGGGTCTCTGCTAGTTACGAGCTATAAAGTTAGTACTACATTTTCATACTGTCGTAAACTATACTTTTAATGTTTTCATTTAGATGTGAGCTAGAGGGCACATGATGCTAAGATAAAGTAATGTTGCGTCATCGAGATCACGTGACTATTCTCACGCCCTCTACTTTCTAGAACTATCCTGTACTTTGGCGAATGCTCTTGCATTTAATAGATATAGGGTAGCCTGGTATATAAAAGAGGGTGACAACGTGACAGGAATGGAATGTGTGTGTAGATAGTGAGTAATTGAACTGCAGCACGTTCGTTGTTATAGCGTTTGTTTAGCGCGATTGTTGAAGTTGAGTGTATCGGTAAAGTTATATTCGGAAAGAATAAACCAGTTTTGTTAAAAAAGGACTTGTGTTGCTTAAGTTTCGTCGGAACGAAGTTATGGAAAGTTAATTAACAAACGGAGATGTAACAGTAAGTTAATAAAAGTAGTTCTAGAGCAGTGCTTTTGAACTGGATGAATGGTTCACCCAGGGGTTAAAGAATCAGGGTAAATGAGTATTATCAATTATACTCTGATTCGGGGTCCTTTCTAAATAATTGTTTGGAAACAAATTTCAAACACTATTTTTCATGCGTATCATACATAGTTAAACATTCTGTCTTGTCTTCTTTCCAAAATGAGCCTTCGACATTTGATTGTGTATATTATCACAACACCATGCTGTGACAAAGTTTCCTTCAAGTAAATTAAAATTATTGTTGGTATATATATATATATATATACAGTCGCGCTGTAACAAATGTTATAATTCACAACAAACGTCTCACGTGCTCCACTCAACAATACTCTCTCTCTCTGTCTGCAATATATATATATTGTTGCGTCAGCAAGGTCACGTGACTGGTACCACGCCACGTCCTTCTTGAACCTTCGTGAATTATCGGGAGACTACTAGATTGGGGTTTTTCTTGTATATA